AGAAATTCTCCCTCATCTTAGAGAGTTAGGTCAAGTTCTTTACATGGTTGGAATCGTCTCTTAATGCTCTACACTTTTCATGTTATGAGTTTTGCTTGAAAGTCCAGGAATCAAGAGATAGAAAACGCGTGGGTGATGTTGTTCAGAGGTTGAAGATGACTGATTCTGGGCTGGGCCTGGAATATTTTCTTATTTGCACCACATAACTGCTTTTGAACCCCCTGAGCCCATTTGCTTATTTCTTTGACTTTTTTGACTTTTTCTTTTTTGGTTGACTTTGTTTATTTTTTCTCATGACATTAAAAACATAAAAATATTTTTTCCATCATTTTTTGAATTTATTACATATTTATTTGATTATTTCTTTTGTTTGTACATAAATATTATATATACTATTATTTAGAATAAATAGAAAAATAGTGTAAATACATTTTTATTTTTGTTTACCTTCTGAAAATATTTCACATAAAAAAGTACTTTTTTTATTTATTTTATTAAATATTAAATATATATTATTTTATATATAATGCATATTTAGAACTTAATATATATATATATATATATATATATATATATATATATATATATATATATATATATATATATATATATATATATATATATATATATATGTTTATTAATATATTTAGGTTAGAATATAAAAATATTTGAATTCTTCATTTTATAAATATTTGATATAAAAAATACTTTTTTATAATATACTTCATTTTATTTTTATTTTTGTACATAATAAATAAATACTTGTATTAAATTAAATAATAATACATTTTCTTTAATAAAATAAGAGTTTTGCCCTAAATTCAAAATACTCCAAAAATAATATCCTTTTTTTATTTTTACATAAATAACACTTTTTTCATACATATACAAAACATTTTTTGCATCTTGCATTTTTATTCCATTTTTATTTATTTAATTATTGTACATTAATTAAATTGTATAAATTCAAATTGATGTAATAGTTTTAGGTTTACGTTACTTGTCAATATCCCCATTTGAACATTTGTACCCCCCTTCCCATATTTGGTTTTGTAATAGCTTAGTAAATTTATTTTCGCACTTTATTGCTTTCTAATGATAACATGTTAGAATTAGGGTTTGTATGCGAAAAACGACAAAAAATAGTTATGACCTAATCTCAAGATAAACAAGCATGAAAATGGACACACAAATCACACTTGCACCCCCTAGGGTACTCCACTTGTTGCCTTTCAAAATTGGGCCATATTGTATGTTAGGTCTCTTTGGGCAAAACAAACAAAAACAAATGATCAAGTCCCTTAAAGAAAATGCCCAAAGATACTTGGCACCATTGCAATTATGGTCTAAACGATGACCCACGCCCGTCCCTTTCACATCCTAAACATAAGATTGTCCACCAAATACAATGGTGGAACAAACTTGTTAAAAGGGTTAAAACATAGCAATAATCTTTTGAGAAATTTAGGAGTAGATAACCTCTTAGTTACTTGAATCAATCTTGCAAACTAAAACACTTGCCTATTTCAAAAACCACACATCACTACACTTTCAAAACAACTTTCAAAAAAACAAATGGAAACCTTTTCAAAAGACGTACATCTTTGTATACATCCCCACATGGATCATTACAAAGGTCGCCACCACATTGGCCTCTTTTCAAAACATTTTCAAACCCACACACTCAAGCACCATTTAAAACAATTGAAAACAAAAGGCAAGTGATCTAAGCAAGTAACTAAGAGCCCATGGATAACCATGGATAGAAAGGGTGCTAATACCTTCCCTTTCTATAATCTACTCCCCGAACCCAAGAAAACATCTCAAAAGGTTTTTGCTGTGCTTTTTAACCTTTCCTTAGGATAAAATAAAAAGTCGGTGGCGACTCTTGCTCAACCGAAACATTTGCGAAAACAAACGCAAAACCTCAAGTCAGTTCTCCCACCGTATCACAATCAGTTCTGATGATAAACTTATGACCCAGAATATAATGTCTAAATTTTGCCATAGCTTCAGTAACTGCATAAAGTTCTCTAACATAAGCAGACTTGTGTTGCATGGATGCGTTCAACTTCTTACAAAAATAAGCAATTGGATGCTTATCTTGACTCAAGATGGCACCAATGCCAGTACCCGAAGCATCGGTCTCCAGGATGAAAGGCTTAGAAAAATCTGGCAAGGCTAGAACCGGCGCATCTGTAATGGCGTGTTGTAAGGATAAAAAAGCATCAGTAGCTGCTTGCGACCATGCAAACGCGTCCTTCTTAAGTAATGCTGTCAAGGGAGCTGCAATGGTAGCATAATTTCTGATAAATCTTCTATAGTAGCCGGATAACCCCAAAAACCCTCTCAATTGTTTGAGATTTGAGGGTATAGGCCAGTCCAGCACTGCTCTCACCTTATCTTTGTCCATGTGCACACCATGGTGAGATATCGTATGCCCTAAGTAATCAACTTCCGTGAATCCGAAGCAACACTTAGACCGTTTGGCAAATAATGAATGATTGCGTAGGAGCTGAAGCACTTCAGTCAGGTGTGCTAGATGAGTGGACCAAGAAGGACTATAAATTAAAATGTCGTCGAAAAATACCAGCACTGACTCTCTGAGTTGAACCTGGAAAACATGATTCATGAGGCTCTGGAATGATGCAGGTGCGTTGGAGAGACCAAACGGCATCACTAACCATTCATATAGACCTTGGTGCGTTCGGAAAGCAGTTTTGTGTCGGTCTTCGGTTTTAACCAAAATCTGATGGTACCCTGAACGTAGATCCAATTTGGAAAAGTATTGTGCACCATGGAGTTCATCTAGAAATTCATCCACGGTTGGGATAGGAAAACTATTTTGATAGTAATGGAATTGAGGGCCCTATAATCTGTGCAAAATCTCCATGAGCCATCTTTCTTCTTGACCAGCAAAACTGGTGAAGAAAAGGGACTATTGCTGGGCTGAATCAGACCCTGTTGCAACATCTCATTAACCATTATTTCTATTTGTGCTTTCTGACTGTGGGGGTACCTGTAAGGCCTCACTTTAACGGGATTACTGCCTTCAGGTAAGGGTATAGCATGGTCTTGAAACCTAGTAGGTGGTAAGCCTTTAGGTTCAACAAACACATCGGGATATGCGTCTAAGATCTAAGATATATCAGGGTGGATAGGAGTGCTCGAGTCACTGATAGTGGGTAATATTTTGTCAAATTGCAGGGTAAAAGCAAGGTCTATTGCATGAGTGTGGTGTAGCCTTTTGATGTGATTAAACTGTGCTTGGCTCGGACCCTTAGGTGTGTCTCCATAAAGTGTAACAAAGGTGTCCTTGACATAAAATTTTAAAGATAGTGCATTATAGTCTGCTATGTGAGGACCTAAGGTTTTTAACCAGGGGACTCCCAACACAAGGTCAGCTCCAGAAATAGGCAGTAAATACACAGGAAGGTGTAAGGTATTACCCTGAATCGTGACTGGCAGAACACTGATATAACCCATGGTGGTCAAGGAATTTCCACTGCCCACTAAGACTTGAAATTGAGTCGTTGACTGAACTGACAAGTGTAAAGACTGAGCAATTCTGGGTTGGAGGAAGTTGTCAGAACTCCCACTATCCAACAAAACCGTGACATCCATGCCTTGAATTTGGCCACGAAAACGCAAAGTACCAAGTCCATGAGAACCATTCAAAGCATTTAAGGATAAGTGATGTTCAGAGTCCTCAATAGGCATACTTTTCGCTAAGGATTCAAGTGTGATATCGGGGTGTGGGTGTGGTTCATTGTCATCATCTTCCATTTGGAGGAGAAAATAATGACGGTTGGGACATTTGTGGTTGACAGAGAATTTGTCATCGCAGTAATAGCAGAGGCCCTTTTCACGGCGAATTTGCATTTCAGCTCGCGATATGTTTTTGACAGGGTGGCTTTTTGGTGATGGATTTGGTGGTTTAGGGTTAGGCAGAATTGGGGGTTGAGGTGTGTGTTTGGGTGTAGAATTGGGTCCAGGGAAATGATAGGGTTTGGTAGAATTGATGGTAAGTGGTTTTGAAACGGGTGATGGTGAATATTTATCCTCAAAAAGCCTTGCAAGAGCATAAGAACGGGACAAGGAAGAAGGGGTTTGAGCAATAACATCTCGTTTGATATCAGTTTTGAGGCCACTGATAAAGCAATCCAAGGTGGCATCAGGACTCAGACCTTGGGCTCTATTGGCAAGCACAGTAAACGATGTATAATACTCTGCAACTGTGGACGTTTGGGTCAATTTGAACAGTGTGGGCCTTGGAGACTCATAAGGGGATGGGTCAAACTCCATTTCTAAAGCTCGAGTGAACATGGCCCATGATTGAAAAGGCTGATTACGGTAAATCATTTGGAACCATGGCACCACGTCCTTTTCCATGTGCACGGCGGCGATGGTAGGGCAGTGATGATCTGGTGTGTCATAAAACTCAAAAAATTGTTCAGCCTTAAAAATCCAATTCATTACCTCAGATCCATCAAATCGGGGAAAGTCGAGCTTGATGTTGCGCATCTGAAACGGCTGAGACGGCGACGGCGTTGAACCGGAAACAGAGTGTTTTCCACCGGAGAGCTGGTTCTCATGAAGAGAGGTGAGCTGACTCTCGAAACGTTCAAAACGGGCTTGATCCAAGTGACGGTGCTGCGAATACTCGTTGTGGCGGCGGTCGGCGTCTTCAACAAACCTCTGCAGAGTTTTGGACATCTCAGCAATGGCATTTTCCATAGTTTTCATGCGTGTATTGTCGGCCATGGGGAGGTCAATGAAAGCACCAATTGTAATGAACAGAAATAATGAAAGCAGAAAAGCAGTGGAATATGGATAAAAATTGTACTAATAATCAATGCAACAGTACAATTTGTTTGAAGGAATGAAATGATGTAATGATTAAAGATGGAATCTAAGGGAAATACTAGAAAAGCATAAGCTTCAGAGGGAGAGAAGAGTCATTTCTTCCACACTAAATTCCATGCCAATGATTGCCAATCATGAGGGTATTTAAACAAAGTCTTCCTTGAATTTTCTGTTTGGGATTCTCTCTCTCTTTCCACGTCCCAGATCCTGATCTTGTGGATCTAATGCCAAGTGTCCCTCCTCATCATGTGAATTAGTTACTCTTGTGATTTCTTTGTCCTTATTCACAACAGATAAACTTAGGAACTGCAACAGCTCCTCTTCCTACAAATGAAGCTCTCACCTCAATTTTGCTTGATGCCATTGAAATTGGTTACAGACATTTTGATACGGTGTTTATCTATGGTACTGAAGAGCCTCTAGGCGAAGCTGTTTCAAAAGCTTTAGAACTTGTCCTTATAAAGAATCACGACGAAGTGTTCATTACTTCCAAGTTATGGTGCACTGATGCTCACCATGACCATGTTCTCAAGGCTCTCCAAACCACTCTCAAGCAAGAACAATTTCTAACTTTTTCCTTGGAATTTGTATCTTATTTTGTCTCTAATTTTGTTTGTTTTTTGTTTTGGTTGGAAATGTTTAGAAAGTTGAAGATGGAGTATGTAGATCTCTACTTAATTCACTGGCCAGTGAGGTTGAAACCAGATATTTAAGGCTTTAACTTTACAGGAGAGGATGTGATTCCCTTTGAAAGTAAAGGAACATGGAAAGCAATGGAAGTCTATTGGTGTTAGCAACTTTGGCATCAAAAAGCTTTCCTTATACTTAAACAGTAGTTAAAAAGGGTCTTATAAATGCTTGTCACGGTTAAACCATGACAAAATAGAATCCCTATTGAAATTGCCACACTCCAACCGTGGTTAATTTATACATTTAGTAAGTTAAAGAGTAGAATACATTATCAATCTGCATGTGTCAAAAATCAATTTTATAAGAAGTTAACACTAGTTAATTCATTCTTGCATATAGATGAAATGAAATGCATTCAATTGGTTATATGTATCTTATTTGGATTCAGGTAGAAATTAATCCATCATGGCAACAAGGAAAACTCAGGGAATTCTGCATGAAGAAATGAGTTCATGTTGTAAATTTCCAACTCCATAGCATCTACAAATCTATTATTTTTATAAGGATTGTGATAGAGTTAAGGTTCTGTAGTTACCACCCTAGTAGAGTTTCACCATTTGACGCAGTTACCACCCTAGTAGAGTTTCACCATTTGACGCCCTAGTAGAGTTTCACCATTTGACGCAGTTACCACCCTAGTAGAGTTTCACCATTTGACACAGAAGAGATAAAGAAATCTAAGATAAATAAAATGATAGATTTGAATTGTTCAATTCATTACGGCTGCAATCTTACAATATAAATACTAGGGTTAAGGACAACAACTGATGGGCCTAAACTACTTGGAGGAAAACAAACTAATGGGCCTAAGCCACTTAAGAGAAAAATAAAACAACTAACTTATTAATTAGGAACATGGTCCTTCATCCAATGAGGTGGTTTTAAATTTCTCTTGGACCTTATATCAGATTGCTAAATCGAATATTCTCCATGCTATTTTTCTCTTTGAATATGTGGATTCCACTTTCTATAAGTAATAAATCCTTCATTCCATGGGGGTATGTAACCTCCGCATGGATCCACTCATTTTTTGAAAATGCTTCCTCTAGGTTGATCTGTTCCTCATTTATATATCCGCTTCTAAAGTTGTCGAGTATCCAATTATCCATGTGCATATCAAATAGATACGCATGACCCAATGTTATCTTGAGCCAGTAGTCAACATGATATTCATAGCCATTGATGAACATATTGATTCTTGCTAAGCTATCTGATAGTGTTCAGTTTTGAAGGACTGGGCCAACCTCCTAAAGAAATTGATTAGAGGAGAAGAGAGATAATTTTCTTAACACAGTTTTCATTCTCCTTAACTCAGTGAGCAATTATAGCATATATAGTACTCAATATATAATCTAGAGAAAGATCTTACAGCAAGCACTACTAACAACTTTTGCTTAGTCATAAACTTCTAGAAGCAAGTAGGATAAAATGACAAAAAGCAAATAAAACAACTACTCATTTGTAAACAATGTGATTCTTGAATTTGGAAGGGAGTTTCCTTACGCGAATGGGCCTAACATCATTAATTATAGTGGGCTGCAATTTGCTAATACCACTCCCTTGATCCGCATCTGTACCAATATCCACCCCTCCAAATTCAACCTTGTCCTCAAGGTTGTAAACCTGTTGCATCATCTGCCAAACTTCCCATGATGCCTTCTCTGGTGCAAGACCAGTCCACTGCACCAAGACCTGTTGCTGAGAACAACCATCAACAGTAATAATTTAGGATTCGAGAATGGCTAACGGAGAGAGTAAATGGTGATTGCCCAACAAATCGGCTGGAAGCTGTCCACCCTCAAGAGGAGGAGGACCAACATGTTGTTTCAAAAGGGAACAACGAAAAACACCGTGAATCTTTGAATATGAAGGGAGCTCAAGTTTGTAAGCTACTGGTCCAACGTGCGCCAGCACCCAAAACGGACCATAATACCTCTTGTGCAACTTATTATACTTAATATCGGAGAGAGAAATTTGACAATAGGGCTGCAGCTTGACATAAACCCAAGAATCAACCTCAAAATCAACCTCTCAACTTTTACTGTCAGTGATGGATTTCATTCAGACCTGAGCCTTAGCCAAATTATTCTTAAGTAAATCCAACACAGCTTCTTGTGAACTAACTAATTCATCAGAAGCAGCTAACTCGGAAGTACCAATCACATAAGATGGGATAGAAGGGGGAAGCTTACCATAAACCACCTCATAAGGTGTCATACCAGCATATGAGTGAAAGGATGTATTGTAATGATACTCTACCCAAGGGAGAAAACGATGCCAAAGAGAGGGTTTGTGATGAACAAAAGCCCTCAAATACTGTTCAATAGTGCCATTAGTAACCTCTGTTTGTCCATATGTTTGGGGGTGATAAGAAGAACTCATGCGCAACACAGTGCCACTGAACTTGAACAATTCTGACCAAAATTTGCTGACAAAGACAGGGTCTCTATTAGAGACAATGCTCCTTGGTAAACCATGCAATTTGCAAACTGAAGTTCTGGCAACAGATACTTAATGTCACAATGAATGTTATGACACCGTATCTGACAAATTGTACACAAACCAAACAGTAATTTAAAAGACAGTAAAGAACACAATCAATTGTTAACTCAGTTCAGTGTATAACAACACCTACATCTGGGGGCTACCAAGTCAGGGAGGAAATAACTCTTGTCCACTACCAACTAAAACATGCAATGGGTCGATTGGGTCTAATGCAAGACCCAAAGCAGAAGCAACAATATCTTTGACAAAATTATGGGTACTACAACCATCCACCAAAACCCATCGTGTCCGAGGAGTTCCGACCCAATAAACGAAAAGTGTTCGCGGCTTGGTCCCCTGAGAGGGCATGCAAACTTAACTGGACAGCGTGAGCAGAGTGTTCATCCAACGAAGCAACACCGTTAACCAATTCCACGATTATAGTCTCAAAATCACCCGGCGCAGAAGAAAAATCCTCGTTATTAGCAACCATTAAGAACACACGAGCACCACGTTTGTGTTGTTTGGACCATGGTTGATCAAAATTGAAGCATAAACCCTTATGACGCCGTTCATCAAGCTCAGGCCCTGAGAGATACCGGAAACAGGGTTTCCCTGAGAGATACCTTGAATTTGAAATTGATTTTCTTTATGCGAATGGGCCTAGCATCATTAATTATAGTGGGCTTCAATTTACTAATACCACCCCCTGATCTGCATATGTATCACTATCGAACGTGTGAACTCCATGCTTCAATTTAATAACAAGAGAGAAGAGGAAGGGAGGTGGTTACAAAACCAAAAATAAATTGAAGGTCCATTACTTTGGTGCTCAAACCATTATGGAATCCTCTTAGTTCCAGCAGAAAAATAAAAGTGGGTGCCTCTAGCTTATGCAATTCCTATAAGTCATAAATCACATTCCCAACTTTAGTTAAACATGGTAGATCACAAAATGAATTGTTAAATAATATATGAAATAACTGCGGAAAGAACCTCATTTAGTAGCATGCTTCTAGACGATGATATCAAAGAAACACAAGATTATGCAGAGAAATATTTTAAACTCGGCGGGATTCCTCTAATTTCCTGAAGATTCTTGCAATTATCTAAGCAAAGCTTACATAAAAAGTGACAATCTTTGAGTAATTCGGGAAGAATTGTGAAATGATTCACCAACAGGTCTAACATTACCACATTAGCAAATAAAGTAAGAAATTTTGGAAGAGATTCATCTGACAGGTTGGAGTTAAAGAGCTCTAGAGATTTGATAGAGTTAAATTTTGCAGCTATTACCTGATTAAGGTTTCACCATAGAACAAGACATTAGATGCTACGCCAAGAAAAAGAAATAAAATTCTGAGTAATCTTCTTCATTGCATACTGTAGCAGACAATATTAATTCTAGGGTTACAAGGATAATTTATTAATGGGCTTAAAAATAGAAAAATAAAATAGATTGAGCCTCAGCCTCTTGAGGGAAAATGTAAAATTTACTTAATAATAGAGCTAATAAATGATATTGTCCTTCATCCATAAAGGCTTAGTTAATTTTTTCTTGGGCCTTGTATCACTATTTTTCGGCCCAATTTGAACCTTGACCTCAAGGTTCTCATCAAGAGAGGGCCCAATTGAAGATGGGTCATGAGGGTTGGAGGCTATAATATTATGGTTACGTGAGTCTTCAAAAACAGGAAGTGTGGAACAATTGGAGGACAATGTGTCCTTTGGAGAAGCTGAAGAAGCAATATGTGGAAGATCCAATAGCTGCATGTATGCGTTGGAAACTGTTGGCTTGAGACATGCGTGAGTACTTCCCAATACTTGATCACCTGTTTTGATGAGTCCATCACTTGGAAGTACAGAGGGTTCCACTGTTTCCTGTGGTTCTTGTGCAAACACTTTTATCTTTGGAAACACGGTAACTTGTTCATTTTCTTCAACCCCAACTGGCTTCCAAGTTTCAACGCATTTCACCCCTTCTCCCTGGTAATGTGAGAAACTGAGTTTGTCAACAACAACTCGTGTAGGATTTTGGATCGGAGCCACAACATCAGGAGTAGCGAAGGTATGTGTAGAAGCATCATTTCCATCTTCTTCTTCACTAAGTAATTCGTGTGTGTTCAAAACTGTTGGATCTGTGATATGGCTGACATCCACTTGTTGTTGGTGTTCATTTGTTGAAACAGGGGGGAGGTTTTGGAAGTCAGAAAAAGGTTAGACCCTTTGTAGCGGCATAATTGAGAGACATGGAAAATGTTATGGATCTTTGAAGAGGGAGGTAGGTCTAACTCGTATGCCACAGCTCTGATGCATCGTAAAATGGAGAAGGGTCCAAAGTAACATGGTGATAACTTCTGAGGTAATTGTTTTTGTATTGGCGTCTTCCGACATGGTTGCAGGCGAAGTAGAACTAAGCCTTCAACCTCAAAGGTACAATCAACTCTCTTTTTGTTTGCTTGTTCTACCATATATTGTCTGCTTCTACTCATATTGAATTTCAAAGTATTGAAAATCTCTTGTTTGGTGGCTAAAAGTGAATCAATTGTTGTGTTTACAGAAGTTCCTTTCGTGTAGTCCAAGAGTGTCGGTGGTGGTCTACCATAAAGCGCCTCAAAGGGAGGCATACCCATGGCTGAATGGTGAGACGTGTTGTACTAAAACTCTGCAAGGTGGATAAATTTGAACCATTTGCATGGATGATCCATTGTAAAACAATGAAGGTAGGTTTCCAAACTCCTATTTACAACTTCCGTTTGTTTGTCTGTCTCGGGGTGGTAAGTTGTGCTATGTTTCAGGGTTGTGCCTCGTAGTAGAAAAAGCTCTTTCTAGAATATGCTGAGGAAAAGGGGATCACGGTCTCAGACAATGGAAGTTGGGACCCCATGGAGGCGGATGATTTCGGCAGAGAATCGAGCAGTAAGATCTGGTGCAGTAAAGCGTGTTGGTAAAGCAATGAAGTGGATGAACTTGCTTAAGCGGTCACAGATGACCCATATCACAGTGTGGCTGAAAGAAAGAGGTAAATGTGTGATAAAATCCATATAGTTAGTTCTTCCCATACTTTTTTGGGAATCTACAGGGGTTGTAGTAACCCTTGTTTCTTCTTTGGCAGGTACTTGTTGCATTGGCAGACAATACAACAGTTGATAAAATCTTTGATGTCTTTATGGATATCGGGCCAATTGAAGGATGATGAAAGACGAACAAGGGTTGGTTGAACTCCAGAGTGACAAGTAGTGGGTGTAGAATGAAATTCAATAATGAGCGATAGTCTGAACTCTAGAATTTGAGGTATGTAAAGTTTATCTTTGTAGAACATGAGGTCATCTTTGAATTTGAACAATACTTGCATATTTGGATCTGAGTGATATTTGGCAATGAATTCTTGACCCTGTTAATGTTTTGTGTAGTGGTTTCGTAGCTGAGCTAGAATCAAGGGAACTGGTGAAGAGATTGTGAAGAACGTAGTGTCGTCTTCGGTGTTGTTGTACCCCAAAATTTTCCCTCTCATGTTTTCCAAGATCTTCTCTTGCCTGGGTGGTTACAAATACTCGCTTAAGGAAAATAAATTTTTTTGAAGATGGTCAAGTGTCTTTCGATGGGCATCTGAACCGGGTCTTACGATTGGCATCTTGACAAAGTTCTTTTGATTGCCATCCTAACAAGGTGTTCGATTGGGAATCTAAAATCCTTCGAGCAAACTTTTGTTTCAAAGCTTCAATTGGCCCAAATTGAGGGAAATCGAAGAGGAATGAAGCTTTGACCAGCCCATAAGGTAACACTTTGATTGGTCCAAATTAAGGGAAATCGAAGAAAAGTGAAGCTTCGACCAGCCCATAAGATAACACTTTGATTGGTCCAAATTGAGGGAAATCTAAGAAAGAAGAATGAAGCTTCGACCAGCCCATAAGGTCACACTTCGATTGGTCCAAATTGAGGGAAATCGAAGAAAGAAGAATGAAGCTTCGACCAGCCCACAAAGCCACTTTGATTGGTCCAAACTGAAGGAAATCAAAGATAGCCATTCGAATTAAAGGAAAGGCCATCAAAAGGAACATGAGCTTAGGCTGTTTGAATGGGAATCAAAGAAGCCATTCGAATTAGAGCTCTAAGCCACCTAAAAGAGCAAAGATTGGGAGCCTGTAGAAAGAATCAGGCAAATCGAAGAGGCCTAATGGATTGAAGTTTGTTGGGTTTGTACTGGTTATCTTGACGCCCAAATTCGAGCAAGACACCAAAACCATAACATGTCTAGGTGCATTGTGTTTCGAAGATGGCAAGAAAATGATCAAAATGGCAACTTTTGATACAAATCGAAGGTCCCATATTCTGTCATAAGTGACTAAGATTTTGTACAGGTTTTGGTTAACCTAATCCACACCATATATAAGTGCAAATAATCAGACCACAGGGGGATACGCGCAGCTTGCCTCCAAAGAGCACCAAAACTTCCTCAAATTTTCAAAGAATCCTTAGAGCTTCCAAACCCTCACTACAAACCTTCTTGCAGTAAGATCTCGTTCCCATTGATTCCCAGCAAAGAGATTGAGTAAGTATGAGACAATCCTGAAGTCCCCAAGCACGCGAAACACTCTCCCATGGTATCACCGGTTGCATATCATTCATAATTGTCATACTTTTTTTTTTTGCTTTGTTTAAACCATGCTAATATTATTATTGTGTTATTGAGTTGTTTTGAACAGATCTGAATCATCCTTATTTCCCCATGCACGCAAGATGCCAACATTCCATAGTCGCTTTTGAAAACTTTCAATTGTGTAGTAGCGCCTAAACCAACTAGTTTTAGGCTTCGATTCTGTTTCTGTAGAAACCGCAAGCCCTGAATTAGGGGGACTGAGTCTCCCTGGATTTTTATTTGTGTCTTTTTTGTAGGTTGTGGTGAAAGATACGATCAGAGAAGACGACTGGAGCTAGGGCTCTGGCGTCCCTCCGGTGTAGACTTATATGTGTTCTTTTTTCTTGTTATTTAGACATCAATTTGGACATGCAGTTTAGTTGGCAAGGTGAGGCGTGATAAGGCGTTCGTTCGAAGGGGGTTGGGTTCGATCCCACCTTTTTTTCTCACTAACTTGTTTCTTACAGATCCCAGCGTGTTCACCATGCACTCTCATCACAATACCACGGGATCTCGATCAGACGTCCCATATCTGGTCCCCACACTAATGGTTCCAAGGGTCATCATCACTAGATTCCCTACAGGAAGTTGGGCCAGCGCAACTTGCGCCTTACAAATTCCAGATCCCACACCCCCATCATTGCTGCTTGCATCAGGCCCGGTTACAATTTTCTTTTATTTATTTTAATCTGATTTTTCCTTTTAATTATTTTTTATATAACCATATAAAAATAATTGAAATCACAAAATTAGGTTTTAGTTTTTTAAGTAAAATTATTTTTTAATTAATTAATAATTATTCAACCGTTTTTTCTTTTATTTAAAATTAAGTAGGTTTAGGTTAATTCGCTTTCTTTGCATAATAAAAATTCCAAAAAAAAAAAAGATTTGTCTTCTTTCAATTTTAACATTTTCCAAATAAACACAAAAGGCAACAAAAATATTTTCTTTTAACTTAGTAAGTTTCTAGGAGTTAAACGTTATTTTCAATTTGCACACGTTATTTCCTTTCACACTTTTTATTGTACCTGCTTCCTGGTTGTAACAGTTAATTAGGACTCTTTGCTTTATTGTTTCTTTATTTTTTTCCCCAAATTTTTGGACTTGTAATAATCCCCCTCCCCGAAGCCTTGTAATAGCTAGGTTCTATATTTCTACACTTTTAATTACTGCAATTATTAACTGCTAGATGTATGACTAATAGGATTGTATGGCAAGAATAAAATAAAATGTTAGCAAACATAACATCAAGACAAAAATAACAGAAACAAGCACACTTACACATATACACCTCTAGGGTACTCCCACTTTGGTTGCCTTCGGAAAAGAGTCACAACTCTCGAAACGTGAGAGATTTTAGTGACTATCCTCCAATTTAAATATCATAAGTCCCTCGATGACCCTTTCGACGTTGCCTCGATAAAGTGATCTTAAGACCCTAGGGTAGTTACTAAGGTTTCTTTCCAAGTTGCCTTTGTGACTATAAATCGTCCCTTCGAATGTCCCTCGAACATCCAACGATAGGGCTACCTACTCACTAATAAGTAGGATAGCACTGTCTAAAGTAAAGGATGAAACGAATGAACCTTTCGAGTAAAAGTAGATAGTACCTAGATGATATTGCTCAAAAACAAATTTTTACACTTACACAAAACAATTTTCAAAAAAAGATTTACAAAATGCTTTATCAACACTCTTGAGGACTGATACAAGAGTTATCATAAAGCAAATCTCCGCACTAAGGCATTTCAAAATACTTTTTAAAAAAACACAAAGCACAAGGTATTTTAAAAAATGAGCTAAGCATCTAAGAGCCCGTAGAGAGCTACGGATGGAAAGGGTACTAACACCTTCCCTTTCCATAATCTACCCCCCTTACTCAGAAAACATCTCGAAAGGTATTTTTCTGTTCTTTTCACCCTTTCCTTTTTTGGATAAAAGAAAAGTCGGTGGTGACTCTTGCTTACCGTAACATCTTGCGAACACAAACGCAAAACCAGTATAACAGTCAGTTCTGCCACCGTATCATAGGTGTGTTTATGACTAAGGGCGTTTGCCACCTGATTGGTCTTACCAGGTTTATAAAAGATATCAAAACTAAACCCTTGTAATTTAGCTGCCCACTTTTGTTGCTCAAGTGTTTGAATAGTTTGGACTAGCAGATTCTTTAAACTCTTTTGGTTAGTGAAAATATGGAAATGTCTCTCAATCAAATACTGACGCCATTTTCTACAGCTTCTGTTATAGCGTATAATTCTCTGACATAGAAGAATGAAGCTTGCATACGGTTGCACATTTTTTTGCTGAAGAAGGCTAATGGGTGACCATATTGGGAGGGAACTGCTCCTATGGCTATTGCAGAAGCATCCGTTTCCAGAGTAAAAGTCTTGGAGAAATCAAGAAGAGCTAGCACATGAGTCTCTGCCATTTTCCTTTATAATGTTGTAAATGATGTATTTGTTATTGTACTCCATGTAAATTTAGTGAAACATAATAAATCGGTGAGCGGAGCAGCGTGAGAGGCGTAATGACGAACAAATCGTCGATAAAACCTGGTGAAGCCTAACAAACCCCTGAGAGTCGTGAGTGAACGTGGCTTTGGCCAATCCAACACGACTTTAATTTTAGATGGATCTGGGGTTACACCATTTGAATAAATAATATGACCTAAGTAATCAACACTTAAAACAGAAAACACACATTTGGACAATTTAGCATAAAATTGATTAGTAGAAAGTAAGTCCAAAATTAATTGCATGTGATGCACATGATCAGATAAACAAGAACTGTAAATGATAATGTCGTCAAAGAAAACTAAAACAAACCGTCTTAAATAAGGGCGTGGCAGATCATTCATTGCCGCTTGAAAATAACTAGGAACGTTAGTCAGCCCGAACGACATAACTAAAAACTCGTAGTGCCCATCAAAGGTTATGAATGATGTCTTATGAGTGTCCTCTGGTGTTACTCTAATTTGGTGATATCCTAGCCTGA